TAAAGATTTTGGGTATTTGAAGAATTAATTAAATGAATAATTTTTATTAATACGGAGGAGATGGATTGTTTAAGTTTAGAGTTTGGAGTTAGAGATATTAATATTTGTTTACTTGTATTTGAATATTAGCCTAGGTTTGGTTTGGGAAGTCCGGGGGGCGGGGGGATGGGATATAACATTGTGTAATATCTGTGATGTACTTCTTTTTTTTTTTTATGATGAAAACAATAAAAATTTTATATTGGAAAAAAAAAAAAAAGATCCCCTGTCAGATTCCGTCTGTTTCAAAAGTTACTCACAAGCAGCTACAATGTAACAGCAGTGGCGGCGACGTCTGGCTTCGCTCCAAGGAACGAAGACACATCGAGCTGCGGAGAAGAGGCTAGGACTCCGGGGGAGTTCTCACCTACATCCCCCCAGGCACGCTCCTGGGGGGACTAGGGAACTCAACCCCTATCCCAGCCAAACTCACTTTCTCCCCTTTGCCCGGGGAGAAAGTTCCGAGCCGCAAAACAGCTGATCCGCGCTGTTTTGACGGCTTTGACGCAGTCCCGGGCTGGAGGCTCAGGAAAAAGCCTCCTTCGGCGGCGCCTCGCCACAGGAAGCTCCAAGTCCCCCATTACTATTGTGATGATAGGTTGGCCTGTTTATTCCTTTTGTGTAAAGACAGATGCAAAAAATGAGTTAAATAGTTCTGCTTTGTCCCTGTTGCTCGTCACCTTCTTGACACTTTCCCCCACTAATGGACCAATCACTTCTTTCATTTTTTTCTTGTTTTTTACATGTTGAAATAATCTTTTTTTGTTATTTTTGACTTTGGTACGAAAGACAGCTGCAAAACAAGTGTTGCACTGAACCAAGCCAGACATTCTGAGATACAAGGAATCTCAGACGCACTTGCCCTGAATGTACCGCTGCTGTTTTTGATTTTTAGTTATATGATTCGTGCTGCTTTTTAACTTACAGATTGTAGCTCATCCCAGCAAGCTCTGGGCAGTTTAAATGCATCTTAAATGCAATGGAGGTCCAATCAGTCTAGTCTGGATTATGTATACATGTGCACAGTGAAAAAAACAAATGTTGCAAGTTTCCCAGACGGATGGCATAGAGAACAAAGCTATTACAGAATCGGGTAGTCCTACTATAAATACTTTGAAACCTCTTCCCAGAGGGGAGCAACAAAAACAGACCGTGAAGTGGGGTCTCTAACAAGGGTCCGAGCTCTAAGCACATATAAGCACTTATAAGCAGCATCCTGAATAACGGGAAGCGAGCTTCCTATGATCTTCTTGGCTGTCCTTATCACTCTCTGCATGGACCTTCTGCCTGAGGCAGTTGCCACCAAACCAGACAGTGATGCATTTTGTTAAGACGCTCTCCATCAAGCCTCTGTAAAAAGTGGCTAGGACAGATGGAGAGAGATGTGCTCTCCTCATCAGACGCTGGTTTGCATTCTTCACTAAGGATGATGTGTGGAGAGACTAATTCAGATTGTTAGTTATCTGCACCATCCAGGTATTTAATACTTTTGACCACCTCCACAGTTGCAGCCTTGATACAAAGTGGAGTATGACTATGCTGGCTCTTGATCTTATCAAGAAATAGGTTGTGGTCTACTTTGCCAAATGTCTTACTGAAGGCAATAATTTCTGTCTGGCATGTTCTCTTTTTAACAAATCGATGCTGGCTTCTATTAATCCTCTTATGCGTTTCTAGGTGCTCATAAATCCTCCACTTATTTATCTTTTCCAGGATTTTCCCAGGTCTTGATGTCAAGCTGCTTGATCTATAATATCCTGGATCCATTTCCCCCTCCTTTTTGTAGATCAGAACCACATCAGCTCTTTTTCAGTCCTCTGGTCCCTCTTTGCCATAATTTTTCCAATTGCTACTTACGGCTGGGAAACGTGGACTTTGAAAAAGGCCGATAGGAGAAGAGTGGATGCCTTTGAACTGTGGTGCTGGAGGTGGCTCTTACACATCCCATGGACTGTAAAAATCACAAACAAAGACCAAACCTCACCAAAATGTCCCTGGAAGCCAAGATCACCAAACAAAGGCTATCATACTTTGGCCATGCCATGCGAGCTAACTCTCTTGAAAAGTCGATCATGCCAGGAGTGACCAGTGGAAAATGGAGAATGGGCCGTTCTAGTACCCGTTGGCTGGGCACTATAAGATGACACTGGGATGACCATGGTGGATCTGAAGGAGGCAGTGCGAGACAGAGGCGAATGGAGAGTGCTGATCCACTGGAAAGAGTGCAGAATCAGAATCAAGCTGAAAGGGATCTTGGAGGTCTTCTAATCCAGCCCCCTGCTCAAGCAGGAGACCCTCTACATTTCAGACAAGTGGCTGTCCAGTCTCTTTTTAAAATCCTTGAGAAGGGCAACAAGGATGATTACAGGACTGGAGGCTAAAACATATGAAGAATGGTTGCAGAAACCGGGCATGGCTAGTCTAGTGAAAAGAAAGACTAGGGGTGACATGATAGCTGTCTTCCAGTATTTGAGGGGCTGCCATAAAGAAGAAAGAGGTCAACCTATTCTCCAAAGCATCAAAAGGATGGAAAAGTACCAATGGATGGAAACTAATCAAGGTGAGAATCAACCTAGAACTAAGGATCTATGGAGGTTCTCAGTCATCCAGATCATGATTGTCCCAAAGGTGCTTTTTCAAGAGGCAACTGGACTTTCTTTGGTTTTCCTTGAGGACGTTTCACTTCTCCTTCAAGAAACTCCTTCAGGAAACAAAGTCCAGTTGCCTTTTGGGACTAGAACTAAGGAGAAGTTTCCTAATAGAGAACAATTAATAATTAACCAGAACCAGAACAATTAACCAGTGGAAGGGAAGTTGCCTCCAGAAGTTGTGGGTGCTCCATCACTGGAGGCTTCTTAAAAGATTGGACAGCCACTTGTCTGGAATAGTCTAGGTCTCCCGCTTGTGCAGGGGGTTAGACTAGAAGACCTCCAAGGTCCCTTCCAGCTCTATTCCGATTAATTGATTGAATCTGGTTTCCCCATTGACTTTGCTTGCCAGAAGGTTGCAAAAGGTGATCTCATGACCCATGGAAACTGCAACTGTCATAAATGTGAGTCAGCTGTCAAGCATCCGAATGTAAATCACGTGACCATGGGGATGCTGCAACGGTCATAAGTATGAAAAATGGTCATAAGTCACCTTTTTTCAGCAACAGTCACTAAAGGAACTGTTGTAAGTTGAGAATTACCTGTACTTTGCACAGAGCTAAGATTAAGATAAATTCTGACACAGCAAATTCATTGAATCAAAAGTTTATTTCCAGTTCAGTGTCCAACATTAAAAAAAACCTGTAAGAATATCATAATATTAATAAAGGCAAATGTTAGTAAGATAGAGGCCTCACTGGAGTAATTTTAGCACATCTAACTCTCTGCTCCAGCACACTTCCTTGATGGAGTGCATTGTGGCTATTTTATTTGCTACCCAATTAAATGCAAAATGCAGGACTTGATTTCTTGTTCAAATTCGGCCTCACGTGAAGGGTTCTAGATCCGTGTTTTACAACCTTGGCAACTTTAAGATGTGTGGACTTCAACTCCCAGAATTCCCCAGCCAGCACACATCTTAAAGTTGCCAAGGTTGCAAATGACTGTTTTTGGAGGACAGAAATGCAACTGGATCAACTTCCTAACCCCTGGCCTTAAATCCATAACTACCTCAAACTGAATTTGAGTGACATATTAGCTAAAAATAAAATTAGGCACACTATGGAATTCAGTCGGGTTTTTTTTTTTACAAGAACACAATGTTCAAGTTCCTAAATAATGAATAACCTGAAAGAAGGCTGGAAGCACAGCATTTTTAAATAGCTCCTGTTTAAAAAAATATGTAAAGGCAAACTATTTTTTTGTACATATATATATTTATATATTTTAAAAAAACAACCATTGAAAAAAAAATCACACTTAATTACAAAGATCCATCGGGAACATTTACAGCAATCCTGAGCGGGGAAGAGTTTAAAACACGAGTCCTGTAAGCCACGATCAGACCAAGAAGGAAGATGTCTGTTTAAAGTCACCCTGAAAAAAATCGAGAGGAGAAAAAAATGCTTTGATATACCAGAGAATAATAAAGATAGAAAATGAATGTTGTAAATGTAAAAGCAAAGAAGGGACTTTTAAAATAATTTATGGTGGACGTGTGATAAAGCAAAGACATATTGGAGGAGGAGTCATCTCTTAATACAGAAAATTCTTAAAGTGAATATAGAAAGAAAACCAGAGACTTTTCTCTTGCGGTTAATGGACAAAGACCTGGAAAAAAAATTGGAAATTTGATGTTATATATGTTTTTCGGCAGCAAGACTGCTTTACGCACAAAAATGGAAGAATGTTTCGATTCCCACTATGGCTGAATGGCTACAGAAGCTGATGGAGTTGGCAGAGATGGCTAAATTGACCATTTTGATTAAAGAAAAAAACACAAATATTTTTATTTCTATGTGGAAACTGCTTCTGGACCGTGCTTGAGGTGGAAAAAAATGAAACTTTGATTTTGGGCTTTACCGATTAGAGAGATCTGTTGTTATTGAAACGACTAATTTATACTATTATGTAAAAGTAAAAAGTTGAGGTTTGATGTTAATGTTTTATTCTACTGCACCAAAGGGAGTTGGACGTCAATGCCTTGTTTTTCCTTTCCCCCCTTGATTTCCCCCACTTTCCTGGTCCCTAATTTCCCTATTTGTTTTTGTATTTTCTTTGTATGCTATATTATAAACTAATAAAAATTTATGCTAAGAAAACAAATATATCTTAGATGTTTGTCTATGCTCCAAATGGCATCTGCCAAAGATGACCAAATTACCACAATCACAACTACACAGTAATATTTAATTCTAAAAATAAATAGCTTGGTTCTCCCCAAATGTTCAAAGCATACCTTTTATATGATTTGTTCAAGGCCTAAAGTGTTACAGGCAGTCCTCGACTTACGACTATTCATTTAGCGGCAGTTCAAAATTATGACGGTGTCAAAAATATAACACCTGGCCTGTTCTCGAAGTTACGACTGTCACACTACGTTATACAATCATGATCTGGGCACTTGGCAAGCAGCTGGCAGCGCCATGTGGCCATGTGATCACGACTTGTCATCTTCCCAGCTGGCTTCTGACAAACAAAGTTAAATTCAAGAAGCTGGATTCACTTAATGACCACATGATTCAATTAACAACCGTGTGATTTGCCTAATAAGTGCAGTACAAAATGATTGTAAATGGTCATGAGATGGCTGGCTTCAGGATCACCTTTATTTGTTTATTAAATTTATACGCCACCCATCGTGCATCACTTGGTGACTGAAATCCTGATCCCAATTTGTGGTCGTTAAATCAAGGACCATCTGTATTTCCATTGTCCAGAATAGTATTTCTCTAAAATTCTGCCTTAGTAGAAAGTATTTCTGGATAGTCACTTGGTTCCAATTCAGATATCTTCAGACACTTTAAAAACACAAATTATCTAAGTTCTAAAACATATACTAATAATGATAATGGTAAAGGTAATGGTAATAATAATAATAATAATAATAATAATAATAATAATAATAATAATAATAACAACAACAACAACAACAACAACAACAATGGACCTTAGAGGTCATCTAGTCCAACCCCCTGAGTTTGACTCTCGTTTCTCTAAAAACTGGGAATGCAAAGCCAAACATTATTATAAGCCCTCTGAGGCTGCAAAGAGCTTTGTCCACCACCCATTAAAACCAGAAGTCCAAAATCAGCCTTTGGTGACCCAAATTCCTGGGGAGAGAACCTGGTGAGTTTCTGCTTCTACTTACATCGCTTCGATTGGAAGGCTGGCTGTAAATGACCTTCTTACTGCTACTGCTGGAAAAGATCGGAGGAGGAGAAGGTGAGTGGATTCCCAGAATTCCCCAGCCGGCCAGCATGCTTTAAGACAGGTGGACTTCAACTCCCAGAATTCCCCAGCCAGCGTGCTTTAAAATAGATGTTCTGCCACTCCCAGAATTCCCTGGCCAGCATGCTTTAAGAGGGGTGGACATCAACTCCCAAATGTCTTCTCCAACTTGGGAGTTCAATGACATGCTGGAAATGGTCCATTGGAGGATTCTGGGAATTTACACCCATAATTCCCAGGGGCTCAAAGCTGGGGATCACTGGTTTATTGTTTGAATGTTGATTTTGATTATTTTTGTTTCCTGACTTTTCATTTACTGTACAGGTAGTCCTAGAGTTACAACTACAATAAGGCCTGGAAAATTGGTCACTAAGCAGGAGACTCGTTAAGTGAGACATCACATACCCCAATGCGCGACCTTCCGTGCCCGCTTCTCCATTGACTTCACTGGTCACAAGCTGGCTGGGAAGGTCGCAAATGGTGATCACAGGACCCCTGGATGCTGCAACCGTCATAAATATAATTCCCGAAATGTTGATCAAGTGCCCATGGGGATGCTACGACGCTTGTAAGTGCATGAACCAGTCACAGCTTCAAACAGTCATAAGCAAACAGTCGTGACTTGAGGACTACCTGTACTTTGCTTTTTTTAATAAATTTGTGTCTCCCACTTTTCATCAGGGGACTAAATCCCATGAATCAGAGAGAAAGGGGCTGTGCCAGGATCAACTGTGCTCCTCCCGCATCCACCCCGAAAAGGGAATCTCACGGCAGGACGACCGATGGTTACGTGGCAAAGAAGGAAGAAATGGCTACTCACGTTGTTCTTTCTGAAAAAGAAGAAAAAGACAAATAATCTGTTAGCCCAGAGGTTTCCCAACCTTTTGGGCACCAGGGACCGGTTCCGTGGAGAGAGGTTTTTCCGCGGACCGGAGGGTGCGTGGTTTTGTGTGCTGCCTGCATCCTGTGGATGGGGCTTTGCTTGTTTGTGCGGCCCGGTTGCTGGCATGCCCCGGCCCGGTACCGGTCCATGGACCAGGGGTTGGGGACCTCTGCATTAGCTAAGAGAGGAGGTGATCACGTCTCTCTTAGAGGGTTAGAAAGGATCAAACTCCATCAATCCAACCACCAAAATTCAGTTCTGTTCGCTTTCTCTCCAACTGGATCAGCCCTCCAGGGACCCTACATTTTTCAGCAAATTTGATACATTTAGGAAGAGTAGACTTCAGCTCCCAGAACTCCCCAGCCCGAATAGCTTCAAAGGAGTACAGGTAGTCCTCAACTTACGACCACGAAGTGGGCCCCAAATTTCCTTTGCTAAGTGACACAGTTGTTAGGTGAATTTTGCCCCGTTTTATGACCTTTCTGGCCACAGTTGCTAAGCAACCTTCTCTGCTGGTAAGCAAAGTGAATGAGGGAAGCCAGATTCGCTTAATGGCTGAGTGATGCACTTAACAACTGCAGTGATACACTCAACAACCGTGGCAAAAGAGGTCCTAAAATTGGGTGCCACTTACTGTGGAAATTCTGCGCCGAGGACGACCAGCACGCCTCAATATCGGTTTTTGTGAGCTATCTGCAGGCTTGCTAAGAGGATCTTGATGGCTACTAAACTCCATCAAGTTCACAAACCTTAGCAAATTTGCTTTCTGGTCTTCATTCTCCTCTGATACCCCTTCAGCCTCAGAGAGCTGAGGTTAAAGAAACAGGACTAGAAAACCAACAATTTTTTACATTTTTCCTGCTTGTTTGTGAAAACAAGAAAGATGCCATTGGCCACTTACTGCTGAAATAGCCCCGACTGTAAGCAAACCAAATCCCGAAAATGACCAGTCCCAGAATGATGAGGAGAACCACCACGGCCGCCACGATCCCACCCACGTTGAGTTCACCTGCAGAGCAATAAAAATGGATCAACCGTTAGAAAGATTGAAGGTGTAACTCTCAAGACCGCCAGAATTCATATGCTTCTACAAAGCAGAAAACTGCCAGCAGGCTGTTGATCAGCGTTCATCTAGTCTTGGCCCAACTATGGCCAATCAAATTGAATAAAATTAACCCTCAGGAGCATCCTTTTTATGTCCTACTCCCTTTTATGCGTTTATCTTTGAGCATGCCAGATAGAATCCCACTTAAAGCAGAAGTCGATTCAAAGAAAAGAAATACAGGTGGTCCTTGACTTACCACCACAATTGAGCTCACAATTTCTGTCCCTAAGCAAGACGGTTGTTCAGTGAGGTTTGCCCCATTGTATCACTTTTCTTGCCACAGTGGTTAAGTGAAACACTACAGTTGTTTACTTAGTAGCAAAGGTTGCTATGTGAATCTGGCTTCCCCGTTGACTTTGCTTGCCAGAAGGTCACAAAAGGGGATCACGTGATCCCGGGACACTGCGACTGTCCTAAATATGAGTCCAGTTGCTAAGCATCTGAATTTTATTGAAATTTTATTTTATTCGAAGAAGGTAAAAATACTGAATGCCACAATATTTACCAAAGGGCAAAAGAATAAAAAACACAAAGATATGAAAAAGAAAAAGTGTCTAAAAAAAAGAAAAAAGAAAAAAGACTAACAGATACACAGCTAACATCCTCCATAGTTTAATGCTGATTAATATAGTACAGCAACGTTAGTTTCCCACTCCTTGAGAAATAGGCCCAAAGAATTTTAAACTATTAAACTACTAAACCTATTTACAAATTGTTAGCCTGTCATCTATAAACTATATTAATAATAAAATAGTTAATAGGAAAAACAATAATAAACATATTATATAAAAATATAAAAGTAATAAAATTGTGAACAATAATAAGAGAAAGACAAGATTCCAAAACCCTGTTAAGAAACAGTTAAGAAAATTTACCACGGTTTCAATCCCAAATCATCCTAAATATTAACCCTAATTGGTCCCAGATCAAATATACAAATTTATTTCTTTATACCATTTCTTATCAATTGCTGATTAATTGAATACAATGTCCAATCTCCCAATCCAATTTATCTTCCCCCCCAAAAACCAGATAAGATCAATTAGATGTATTAAGTTCATTTCCCATTCTCCTTCAAACCCCTTAAAAATCCCATTTGCCACATACATCCAGAGAGTCCTCTGCTATTATATAAAAAGCAGTGTTAAGCTTTCAGAAGGTGTTATTGAGTCGATGCTAATATTTCTGAGTCTATATTTCTTTCCGGCCAATTTACAGCTGGGAAATCGCATTTCTTCTCAATATTTTCCACAGTGTTGCTTTATGCCTATGTTTCTTCCCAACGAATCTGCTACTTTGAGAGCAAGTTCTTCTTGTGGGTTTAGTGTCTGATTCTTCAAAACGTTTTTCACGGCCTTTATTGGTTCATCAAATCTTTTAGAAAAGAATTCAGCTAAAGATTGCATGTTGCTAGCCAGACTCTGCTTTCCCCCTTGAAGTCAGGCTTCTACTTCTTTCCATGTAATCCAATATGTTGTTGCTCAAATCAGGGAGCAAGCAAAGAAAACAAAGAAGATATTTTCTGACTATTTTGATCCAAAAAGTTTTTGTAATCAAATACAAATCCAGAGGCATGTGCTTTGCTTCCATACGGAAAGCAGATGTTGATAAGAGCAGTCAAATAAATCAAAGAAGAAGAAAAAAAGCAAAAAACAAAAACAAAACAGAAAGAATCCAGCAGGGGTTGAAATAAATCAGCTTTCAGCCAGCCAATTAACCTTTAAAGATAAGAACAAAAACAGAAGTTCAAAAAGTGAACTTAAAAAAACACAGGCATGCTTACAAAAATGTTCTGCTGGTAGGAAAAGATGTAAACACCCTTTGATTTTCCAGCTGCTCCCATCGGGAGTTGCAATCTTCAAAATTCCCCCTCCCAGGTGGGTCTGCAACCATCCCAAAGTTGTCTTGGGTCACTCCTAAGTGCCCCCATTCATTCAAATCCAGGGGGCAAAACTGCAAAAGAACCAAATCTGGCAGCAAGCACAGAAGATCGTAAGAGAAAGAAAGCCACTCACTCTTCAGCAGCCACTTTGGAGAAGAGTCTCACTAAGCATCTGAATTTTGATCATGTGACTCTAGGGATGCTGCAACAGTCGTAAGTGTGAAAAATGGTCACAGGCCACTTTTTTCAGTGCTGCTGTAACTTCGAGCAGTCATTACATGAACTGCTGTTGAGGACTACCAGTATATATCAATAAAAATATATCAACTATAAGGATCCTGTTTATTCAGAGATACTTTAAAGCAGGGTTCCCCAACCCCCTGTCTGTGGACCAATACTGGACCGCGCGGCATGCCTGCAACCGGTCCGCACAAAGTCCCATCTGTGGGATGCAGGCAGCACACAAAACCACGCAATCTCCGATCCGCATAATAACCTTTT